ACATGCACACGCTTACGCTTACGCCGCAGATGCACACGCTCACACGCACGCGCACTCGCACACACACAAACACACTCGCACATGCACACGCACACGCGCGCACACGCGCACACGCAGACACAGACACAGACACAGACACAGACACAGACACTGACACACACACACAACAACAACAACAACAACAACAACAACAACAACAACAACAACAACAACAACAACAACGACAACAACAACAACAACAACAACAACAACAACAACAACAACAACAACAACAGACACACACACACACACACATTCGCCGATCCCCAGGAAAATATGGTGACACATGGGAAGCGGGGGGTAAACGAACATCCAGGAGATTTCGAGAACATAGAGGCTCCTGGGAATTGTGTCTTTTTATGTGTGTGGCCCTGGGCCCCTTTATAGGAGGAGGAGAAGCAGGAATGGGAACGGAAGAAGGAGGAACAGGAGGAGGTAGAGAGGAAGGCTGTGGAGGGGGACGAGGACGGGGTGGGGCGGGACAACAGCATGATAATGACAAGGTGGGGGGGATAGCTCGAGGAGGAGGGCGAGGAACAGCTTGAGGAGGAGGAGGAGGAGGAGGGCCAGGATAGGCAGGATCAGGAGGAAGACGAGGAGGACGAGCATAACGAAGACGTGAAGGAGGAGGCGGACGACGAGATGGATGACGAGATGGAGGACAAGTAGAAGGAAGAGGACGAAGAGGAGGACGAGGAGGAAGAACAGGGGGAGGAACTAGATGAGGATGACAAGGGTAATACGGAGTACGAAGAGGACGGGCAGGAGGGGTACGGGGTTTAAAGGGGAGACGGAAGAGCAGGAGAAGGAACATGACGGGAGGAGAACGAGGATGACTAGGAGGAGGCATCCAGGAGGAATGATGTAGAAATGAGGGAGGAGGAGGAGGAGGAAGGAGGAGGACGAACATGAGGAGAGAGGAGGACGAGAGAGGGGACGTGGGAGGATTGGAGAAGAAGGCGGGGGAGAAGGAGAGAGGAGGACAGAGGAGGGCCGGAGTGATGAGGGATGATGTTGATGGGGGGGGACCCACGCCTGCTGATGCCGTTGTCCAGTTGGACTCGCGGGGCCCAGGAGCTCTCGACAACCCTTTCTGTTTGGTGCGTTGTAATGAGAGGGCGATAACTTTGGGGGGCAGCGAGGGCTGCAGAAGGGGGCCCTCGAGGGCCACATGGAGGGCCTTTGGGGCTCGAGAAGAGGACCGTCCTCCCCCCCCGTAAGGGGGCCTTTAGGTTCCGAGAAGGGCAAGGGCACTTTTCTCCCCCCCCCATGCATCGCCCTCCATCAACTCGCGCCCAGTTCTGGGGGACTGGTGTTTTGCCCTAGATGGTTCTCGTCGGTCGCACAGGGCCCCGACGCGGCCCCTGGGCGCCGACGGCGTGAGCAAAGGCGTCCGCCCTCATCTGTTCAAGACGTCGTGGTCCTGCGGAGGCGCCCACGAGTCCTTCTGGGCGGTGCCGGGGGACCCAACACGCGATCCAAGACAACGTGTCAAAGCGGCGTTGAAGCATAGCGAGTTTGGGCAAGCGGCTGCAGGGGTCTCGAGGCAGAAGTCCTGCCTCGCTCCTGATTTGATAGGCACGGGGGCGACCGCCAAGCTGCAACAAAAATAGCTGAGCTACACCTGGGGATGGCTCCTCCCAAACCTGCCCCTTTGACCTCTCCTGGGGTGCGTCCTGGCCAGGGTTCCCTGGCGGATCCAACCGTCGCATTGGCCACGACGAGCCTCCCAGAGGCCAAACAGATACCTGCAAAGGCTCCGTAGCCATGTTGGCTCAAGAGGTCATGCCAGCCTGGCTCGACCATTCTTTACAACGGCCCAGCGCGCACCAGCTCGGCGCCGTCCCCGGTTGGGAGTCCCCGGGCGCCGCCTCGAGGACTCATGGATTCGGACTCCAGATCGGGGAGCAGCGAAGATGAGGATTACAGCTCCAAAGCCGAGGGCATCGTCATGAGGCGGAGATGCACGGACGTGGGTAGCCTTCTGATGTTTGCAGCGTTCTTGTGGTGCCATGGCTACGTCGCCGTGGGCGGCTTCCGCGAGGGCAACCTCGACAAGCTCACCCGTGGCCTCGATTGGAGGGGGCAGCTGTGCGGTGTGGGCCCAGACGTGGCGGGGAAGCCTGGCGGCGCGGGCCAGGGGGGTGGCGCCAGGAGGGCTGCCGTCTAGAAAGGCGGGGGAGCTTCTATCCAGGGGCCGCAAGGGGTACGGAAACCACGGGCACACACTCCAGCAGCGTGTCTTTTCCATTCTTTCCATTCTGAGCCGGACTCCCTGTCGGCGTCGCCGCGGTCGCTGTCCATGCGCGAGGCACAAGCTCCCCTGCCCAACAGCGGCCGCTGTCGGTGTTGGACAACTGCTGCTGTTCGGCATCGTCCCCACTGTCCCGTGCCATTTTCAGGCGTCAAAATTCTTAGAAGCCAGGCGGGGAGTTTCTTAGGAGCCTCCCGTCGTCTATCTTGAAGCCCTTGGCCATTTCTGAGGGGCACCTTGCCTTCGAAGAACCTCCGTGCCTTCTTCGAAGGCCACCCCCCTCGCGCGCGCCGCTGGAAGCCGCTGCTGTACTGGTGCGGCAACGGGACGTCGCGCACCTTCGGGGTGGGCGGGCAGTCTGGTGAGCCCGCCCAGATCACCGTGCCCGAGTCCCTGAACCTGGAGATGCCCATCTGCGTGGAGGAGTGCCCCCAGGATTCTGCAGCGCTGGTGTACTGCCCGAAGGCCGCCAGCGTCTCCGAGGACCGGCAGGGTGACCGGGGCCCCACGCTGCCGGGCCGGTCCGCGCACTGCCTCGCCCTGCTTCTCGGGGAGGACTCTGCGGCCGCAGCCTGGCGGGCCTGCGCCCGCCAGGTCTGGCCCTGTGGGCCGCTGCTCTCACTGCCGGGTGCGTTGCCAAGGAGGGCGTTCTGGGGCCCGTCGGGCGGGCCCAGCACTTGGGGGGTGAAGGCAAGGGCCCTAACTGAGGCCCTTTGGGGCCCCTTTTGGAGCCCATAGGGGTTCAAAAGGGCCCCTCAAACTGAGCGCCCCGCCAGGGCCCCCCCTTCACCGCCGACGTAGGCCACCCTCTATGACCGCCCGCCGCAGCCTCCAGAGCCGCCGGGTCTCAGAGATCCCCGCTGTGCCCCGGCCCAGTGTGGGTCCCAGTCCTCGCCTCGTCTTGGCTCCTGTCCACCCCGGAGAGGACGTCTCTGGTGAGCAGCCAGGGGTGACGGTGATCACGACCATCGTTCAGGAGGTCGTCGGCCAGGCCACGTACCCCACCGTGGTGGTGGGCGGGCGCCTGTGTTTCCCCGACGCCGGGGGCCAGGAGGGGTCTGCTGGGGAGCTGCTGGAGGAGCTGCACGGCTACATTCGGGGGCGTCGAGGGGGAGGGTGTTTCTGGACCAAGGGGGTGCTGTTGTGATGGCCGGGGCCATGATCATCTCTCAGAGCTCAGAGTTCATGTTCCTTTTTCTTTCCGCACATCTTGTGGCCCCGCTCGTCTGCACTCATGCCTTTGACCAAGGTGCCCCGCATGCCCACCCCCTCTGCCTGCTGGCTCCCTCTTCGGCGCACCCGATACGTCAAGAGCTGGATAGACGCCAGCTGGGCCCTGCGACTCCTCTACAAGGCTGGCAATCTGGCGAGCGACGTCCCGAACAACTTCCTCCTTCTCGGCGGCATCTGCGCGGGCGCGTTCGTCCTGAGCTTCGCCTACCTGCTCCTCCTCCGGTTCGTTGCGAAGCTGCTGGTGTACGTCATGCTGGGGGTGCTCCCTCTGGGCTTCGGGCTCCTTGGAGCGGCCCTCATCTCGACGGCGCACGGCCTGACTGGACACCAGGCGCTCTCCCCGATGTTCGAGTCTGTGCCAGACCCCTTCTGGGCTATGGTGATATCCGACGCCCTGGGCGTCACATGTCTTCTGCTGGCTACGATCTCGATCTGCATCTGCTGCTTGAGAGACACAGTCGCGATGGTTTGCGGGTGTATCAAGGCTTCTGTCGAATGTATGTTTGACATGCCCACATTGCTGATCGAGCCTGTGCTGGGCGCAGCGCTGAAGCTATCCGTGCTGTCTGTCCTCCTGCTCGGCCTCGCTTATCTTTTGTCCTTGGGCACAGTGCAGGGCGGCGAGGTGTCTCTGGGCGGCACGACGCTGTACGGACTCAACCGGACTTTCACGTACACTGCTGATCAGCAGTACCGCCTTTTGTTTTACATGTTCGGCATGTTCTGGATCATGGAGGTTTGCGACGCCTGCCAGCAGTTCACGATATCATACGCGGTCGTGCTGTGGTACTACAAGCCGAAGCCGAAGAGACGACCTCATTTCCCAGTTGTGCGCGGCTTTCTCAACGCGATATGCTTTCATCTGGGTACCCTCGCGCTCGGAGCGCTGCTGGTGGCCACCACACAGGTGCTGCGGCTGGTGTTGGGCTTCGTCAAGCGCCAGACGGAGGCCAGCTGCAGCCCGACTGGGGCGTGCCTGGCAAGCTGCTGCACTGGTTGCCTCGCCTGTTTCCAGAAGTGCCTGGAGTTCATAAACAAGAGCGCGTACGTCGACGTCGCCATCCGCTCCAGCAACTTCCTCCACGCGGCTCTCCACGTCTTCAAGTTCGTGACGCAGGAGGTTCCGGCCATCGCTCTGCTGAGTGGTACCTGTTGGATCGCCCAGGTCGGCGGCGTTTTGAGCATCTCCCTCGCGAGTGGCTTTGGCGTGTACCTGCTGGTCACGAGGGTGGACCCGTGGGTGAATGTTTCCTCGGAGCAACACGTCTCGGAGCCAGTGCTGTTGGCCATACTCTCTGGCATGTTCGGTGTCTGCGTGTCGACAGTGTTCATGTGGGTATTCGACCAGTGCTCGGACACACTGCTGTATGTCTTCGCCGACAACCGGAAGAGGAGTCCTGAGACCGTGTCCACGTACGCCCCGAAGACGCTTTCGAACTTGGTCGACAAGTTCGAGCCGGAGGAGGAGTCCTGAGATTGTGTTTCTTTACGCCCCGTGGCCTGGATGCGCAGCATCGGTGGTACGAACTACGTGGTGCAAATAGCTTTTGCCAAATCAGGAATTTTCAACGCCACTGCTCGCGAAATCATTCAACCCTCCCACCCGCAACTGGTGTGCAACCCTCTGCGGCCGCGATTACCTTGACTGCACGGCCTTTGCTGGCGCATGTCTGCGCCCGCGCTGGCGCGCGCAAGCTCGCGCGCAGAGCGACCAGCTGGTTTGGCACAACTGATTTGGTTGTAGTGGTGCTTGCCGATGGGCATTTTCAGCGCGTCTCAAAGGCCTCGCTTGTTCGCGGGCATTTCAGGGCGGGTCGGTGATTCGGGCGGGCGCGATTCATGATGACGTCGACGACGGCGACAACGATAATGATGATAATGGCGATGGTGGTGGCGACGCTGACGATTACAACGGCAAGGCCAATTGCAGCGCAGATGCTGGTGACGACGATGCTGCTGATGGCGACAATGGCGGCGATTGACGATGACGATGATGGCGGTAATGCGATGGCGGTGATGAGGGTGATGGTCAAGAAAGACGCACGCATAAGCCCCCCGAAATCTGACAGGTTTGTTTGGCATTTGTTTGGGTATTCATGTGTACTGAAGAGCTCTATATTGGAATGCTTCGGAACTGCCAGTTTCGGAAAGAATTCGACGCGCGCGAGGCGGCGCCGGCATTGGGCCCGCATGAGATCATTTAATTCGTATTTGTGCGCTGAGCGCAGGCTAGATCAACGCAGATGAGCCGCGTGGTGAGGTGAGAATGCGGATTACTGACGAAACTGGTGAACTCGTATGTCAGTTATCAGCGCGCGCATTGTATTATGTGACAGGAGCGAAGAAGGTGGGCGATGCCGTGTGGGCTGACATGGTCTGAGCTCATATGTCAAATTAACGATGAGGCAGAAGCGAGCGTACACTGCGTTATCCCAGCTTGTACCGGTCGCCCCAGCGGGGAAGGCGGTGGAATTTTCTGAGCTCTGGGGTCCAGGATCTAATTACAGACGCCACGTCAGCGCCCACAGCTCCAGCCGAAGCCTCGGCACACCCAGCCAACGCACGTGGCGCTCACAAGACGCCCGCGTGCGCCGCCCATCGGGCGAAGTCTCGCCGGACCTTGCCAGCGCACGTGGCGCCCACGGGACGCCCACGGGCGCCCATCGGGCGACACCTCGGCGGACCCGGCCAGCGCACGGGTGGCTCACGAGGCGCCCCCTGTGGCCCCAGAGGCGAACACGTGGCGGACCTGGCCAGCGCACGGGGGCGCCCACGAGGCGCCCACGGGTGCCCACCAGGGGAAGCCTTGGCGTGACCAGGGGAGGCTCTGGCGTGCCCGGCCAACGCATGGGGCGCCAGTGGGACGACCTTGTCGGATCTCCGCATCGAGGAAGGGGGAGGAGGAGGGGGAAGAGGAGGAGGAGGAGGAGGAGGAGGAGGAGGAGGAGGAGGAGGAGGAGGAGGAGGCTTTTTTGACTATACTTAGCTCGTTGCAAGTTAGCTTGAGCGCAGCGGCCAAAAGGACTGGCACAGGCTGCACACGAGAAGCCCGAGAGCATGGACGCTGAGCTGCTTCCGCTCTCGTCCTGAAAACTGTCAGGAGAGAGGTATTGGCGCTGGGGGAGGGGAGGAGAGGATTCATAACGAAGGAGGAGGAGATAGTAGCGCCGTGCGAAGAGAAACATCAGCGGCACCCTGCTTCGTTGCCCATAGAAGGGCAGCCCTCGATGCAGAGAGCAGTGCGAGGCAGGAAAAAGAAGAGACCTGCCTAGGAGTGCCATCCGAATTTCGGACTGCTAGTAAGCGGGAAGAGCTGGGCGGAGGGCCAAAATGGCCAGGCCGCATTGCGGCTGTCCAAACCTCCATGGGAGGAGATCTGGACTGAAGGAGGAGCAGGGGAAGTATAAAGAGGCGGGAGAGGAAGAAGGGCCGGAATGACCTGGCCGTGTTGCAGGGCGTACGCTGCAGCTGCGGCCTGTACGGGCCGACCGCGGCGGGGAGGTGGGTGTGCCTGGGCGCTAGCCGAGACCAGACAGCAGAGACCCACCTCCGTGTGGCCCCTCACAGGCACGCAGGGACCAAGGGGACCCTGCTACACCTGGACGGGGGCCAGAGAGACAAGCCAAGGCCAGTGCCGCGTTCCTCCCACGAGGCACATATGTTTGCCGCGGCCATGCCTCAGCCGCGCAGCCAAGACGCACTGGAGCATGGTGCCAGTCTGTATATATGGCACCTTTGCTGGCCGCTTTGGCCGAGAGTTACTCGGCGGGGCTGTGCTGTAACATCGTTAGGTAATGAGCTGCCAAGGTGAACCAAGAGTATTAGGCCAGCTCGCCACCTAGGAGACTCAGCCGTGGCGAGTCTGCGAATTGCTGTGTGAGCAAGCCGATCGCTGTATAGCGACGCTGCTAAGAGGTGCCGCGCTGGCATCACTTGTGCGGCAAGGTGGAAGGTCGAGCCCCTGATTGGCAACGACTCTTGCACAGGCCCTCCAAGGGGGGCCGGTAAAAAGCAGAGTGACTAGGTGGGCTGCCGAGGTATGTATTAGGCTGGCCCCGCCCCTGTGTGGCGCATTGGCGGTTGCATCATGGGCGCCCATCCCATATTACCTGAGATGGTGCCGGCTGGATGCCGCACAGTTAAAGGCCTTACGGGCGCTGAAGAGTTGCAGCTGCAGCTGAAAGGCCTGTGCGGGCCGTCCGCGACGGGGAGGTGGGTGTGCCTGGGCGCTAACCGAGACCAGACAGCAGAGACCCACCTCCGTGTGGCCCCTCACAGGCACACAGGGACCAAAGGGACCCTGCTACACCTGGACTGGGGCCAAAGAGATGCGTCGGGGCAGAGGCCACGTCCTCTCATGAGGCGCTTGTGGCTAGGACTGTCTAGTTAGTGAGCTGCCAGGGCGAACCACGAGTATTAGGCCAGCCCATCCCCTAGAGACTCCGCCGTGACGAGTCTGCGAATTGCTGTGTGAGCCTAGCCGATCGCTGTTGAGCGAGGCTGTTAAAATGTGCTGCGCTGGCCGCACTAGTGCAGCAAAGTGAGAAGTCGCGCCCATGAGTGGCGACTACTCCTGGGTAGGGCCCCCCAAAAGAGGGGCCGGTGGAGAAAAGAGCGCTAGGTGGGCTCCGCCCCTGTGTGGCACATTTACGGTAGCACCCTGGGCACCCATCCCACATTGGCCTGAGATGGTGACGACTGATGCTGCAAGAGCTGCGGTGAGAATGTACGCCGGCTTGGCCGGCCTTAAATTGGAGACGCGGTGTCTCCTTTATAAGAGTTTGGCTAGCAAAGAAGGCTTGGGCTGTATGGGTGGTGGGCTGCAGGCAAACCAGAATCTGAGCATTGTGCTGACCCACCACCTATGCGTGAGGACTCAGCCGTGGCGAGTCTGCGAATTGATATGTGTGAGCGGCGCTCAGCCGCCTCACTGTTAGCGGGGCTGCCCAAGGTTGTAGAGCCGCACAATGACTGGAGGGATGCTGCTAGACTTGCGTGGCATACAACTCAGCTATGCAGGACGGCTCGACCGACCTTGAGTAGGAGCGGCATGGCTCCAGCTGTTTAGGTGGTGGGCTGCCGAGGTGGAGAAAGGACGCTGAAAGGATGTGGCAAGGAAAGTATTAGGCGAGCCCACCACCTAAGTATGCACGCTGCTAGTGGCGCCGAGGTCGCTTAGGTCGACCTAGAAGGGCGCTGATTGATGCGTCATTAGCGTGGCTCGCTCAGGCACTGAAGGGCGACGGGTTGAGAGAGCGGGCGGCAGCAGAGAGCGCCGAGAGACCTGCCGCTGTCGCCGCCGCACGCGCCTGGGCCTCTTGCGCGGCAGCCTGCTGCTGGTTGTGGTGGTTCCTCAGCATGGCCTCCACCTCAGAGATGGTCGCCAGGCCTGGGGTCTCGATCCACTCCCAGTCCCAGGTTTCGACGACCTGGCCGTCGATGACGTCCAGCGACTTGAGCTTCCAGACGAACGGGTATAGCATGCCGTTGGGCATCTTCCATTCGCCCGGGCAAGTGGAGGGCCACCACTTTTTGAACTCGCGCGTGGCGGCCGTGTATTGGGAGCCCTGCCAGGCCGAGCCAGCATAGGTGCCCCCTGAGAGGCCGAAGAGCTCCCGCGTGTCAGGCGACGCCCTGCTGGCCTCGGCCGCGCCCGCCTCCGCCGCAGCCGCATCGGAGCCACCCGCGGGAGGCATGGGCACCATGGCGGCGTGGGGCGCGCTGAGAGAAGGGGGGGAGTGCCGAGGAAGCAAAAAGAAATAGCCCATAAGCCAACGGCGGCCAGATGTGAGTGAAACCTAGCTGGCCTGTGCTAGCATCTGTGTGAGGAGGACCCTCCTGACGGGCCGACTGATGCACGCCTGGCCTGGTGCGGAGTCTATAGGGATGAGGATGTTGCCGCTACGCATGTTGACCCGCAGCGCAAGACCGGTGCGGTAGGGTATGCCCGTGCCAAATAGGATGGGCCGTGCATCCATCTCCTGAAGGATGGGGAGGTGAAAAATGCGCGGCCTTTCCACAGAGGATGGCAGCCTGGTCTCCTGCCCATGGAATTGCTCCATTAGGAGTCCTACATTGATGGGCAGTGGGGACCAAAGCGAAATGGGGCCTGTCGTTATCACTACCATCCACTGCACTGCTGTAGGCGGTGGTGGCGCTGCTTCAGTGGGGGCGCAGCGGAAGTCACCGTGCTCGAACTGCGGCAGGTGCTGCGCCTCTGGGGTCGGCATGGCCTGAGGGCTTAGGGTTCGGGGAGGCGGAGGATTCGAGCGAGGTGGGACAACGGGAGGCAGAATGGCCGTACCATGATCATGGCCTGGAAGTCTATAAGGATGGGGCTGCCGGCCGCTGCATCCTGCAAAAGCCTGTGAGGGCTGAGGGAGGCCTGCTCCCAGGCCCCCGATTGAAGTAGGACCAGAAAAAGTTGGTTCGGCACGTAAACTGAAACTAGCCCTATGGTGGGTGAGAAACGGG